CACGGCGCTTGGTCCTCTGGAGCTCAGCTGGTAGAGCACGGCGCTTGGTCCTCTGGAGCTCAGCTGGTAGAGCACGGCGCTTGGTCCTCTGGAGCTCAGCTGGTAGAGCACGGCGCTTGGTCCTCTGGAGCTCAGCTGGTAGAGCACGGCGCTTGGTCCTCTGTAGCTCAGCTGGTAGCGCACGGCGCTTGGTCCTCTGGAGCTCAGCTGGTAGAGCACGGTGCTTGGTCCTCTGTAGCTCAGCTGGTAGAGCACGGCGCTTGGTCCTCTGGTAGCTCAGCTGGTAGAGCACGGCGCTTGGTCCTCTGGAGCTCAGCTGGTAGAGCACGGCGCTTGGTCCTCTGTAGCTCAGCTGGTAGAGCACGGCGCTGTGGTCCTCTGGAGCTCAGCTGGTAGAGCACGGCGCTTGGTCCTCTGTAGCTCAGCTGGTAGAGCACGGCGCTTGGTCCTCTGTAGCTCAGCTGGTAGAGCACGGCGCTTGGTCCTCTGGAGCTCAGCTGGTAGAGCACGGCGCTTGGTCCTCTGAGCTCAGCTGGTAGAGCACGGCGCTTGGGTCCTCTGTAGCTCAGCTGGTAGAGCACGGCGCTTGGTCCCTCTGTAGCTCAGCTGGTAGAGCACGGCGCTTGGTCCTCGTGGGGCTCAGGCTGGTAAGAGCACGGCCTTGGTCCTCTGGAGCGTCAGCTGGTAGATCACGGCGCTTGTCCTCTGGAGTCAGCTGGTATGAGCAACGGCGCTTGGTCCTCTGTAGCCAGCTGGTATAGCACCGTGCGCTTGGTCCTCTGTAGGCTCCAGGCTGGTAGAGCAAACGGCGCTTGGTCCTATGGAGCATCAGCTGGTAGAGTCACGGCGCTTGGTCCTCGGTAGCTCCCGCTGGTAGAGCACGGCGCTTGTTCCTCTGTAGCCTTCAGCTGGTAGAGCACGGCGGCTTGGTCCTCTGTTAGCTCAGCTGTGTAGAGCACGGCGCTTGGGTCCTCTGTATGCTCAGCTGGTAGAGCACGGCGCTTGGTCCTCTGTAGCTCAGCTGGTAGAGCACGGCGCTTGGTCCCTCTGGAGCTCAGCTTGGTAGAGCACGGCGCTTGTCCTCTGGAGCTCAGCTGGTAGAGCACGGCGCTTGGTCCTCTGGAGCTCAGCTGGTAGAGCACGGCGCTTGGTCCTCTGGAGCTCAGCTGGTAGAGCACGGCGCTTGGTCCTCTGGAGCTCAGCTGGTAGAGCACGGCGCTTGGTCCTCTGGAGCTCAGCTGGTAGAGCACGGCGCTTGGTCCTCTGGAGCTCAGCTGGTAGAGCACGGCGCTTGGTCCTCTGGAGCTCAGCTGGTAGAGCACGGCGCTTGGTCCTCTGGAGCTCAGCTGGTAGAGCACGGCGCTTGGTCCTCTGGAGCTCAGCTGGTAGAGCACGGCGCTTGGTCCTCTGGAGCTCAGCTGGTAGAGCACGGCGCTTGGTCCTCTGTAGCTCAGCTGGTAGAGCACGGCGCTTGGTCCTCTGTAGCTCAGCTGGTAGAGCACGGCGCTTGGTCCTCTGGAGCTCAGCTGGTAGAGCACGGCGCTTGGTCCTCTGTAGCTCAGCTGGTAGAGCACGGCGCTTGTAACGCCAAGGTAGTGGGTTCGATCCCCGGGACCACCCATACACAAAAAAAATGTATGCACGCATGACTGTAAGTCGCTTTGGATAAAAGCGTCTGCTAAATGGCTTATTATTATATTATTATTATTATAAGGCTATCCTAACTGCAAATTCTTTAAAATCTTGATCAACTGTACCTATATAAATGTACAGCGCATTCGGAAAGTATTCAGACCCCTTGAAGTTTTCCACCTTTTTGTTACATTACAGCCTTATTCTAAAATTGATTAAAGTGTTGTTTTCTCATCAATCTACACACAATACTCCATAATGACGAAGCGAAAACAGGTTTATTGAAATTTTTGCAAAGTTTGGGGTCACTTAGAAATGTTCTTGTTTTCCATGAAAACATACATGAAATGAGATCAGCCAATAGGATAGTGATTCCTATGTTGTTGATGTGAAGAATATTTGTTGGTCTGTGGTGTGTAATGACGAGCAACCAGACACTGCATTTGACACATTTATGAAATTGCTTATTCCAGTTACTAATAAGCATGCAGCCATTAAGAAAATGACTGTAGAAACTGTTAAATCCCAGTGGATTGATGAGGAATTAAAAAATGGTATGGTTGAGAGGGATGAGGCAAAATAAATGGCAAATAAGTCTGGCTGCACAACCAATTGGCAAACGTACTGCAAATTGAGAAATCATGTGACTAAACTGAATAAAAAGAAGAAGAAACTACACTATGAAACAAAGATAAATGAAGAAAGAAGACATAAAGAATGATAGTAAAAAGCTTTGGAGCACCTTCAATGATATTTTGGGCAAAAAGACTAACTCCGCTCCATCATTTATTGAATCAAATGGCTCATTCCTCACAAAACCCACTGATATTGCCAATACTTTGATTTTTTTCATTGACGAGATTAGCAAATTTAGCAAAATACACCTTATGGAACAGAGGGAACTGTGAAGCAACACAAACATAGACACATGTATAAAAACACACGATAACATACGCACTATACACACTCATATACATGGATTATGTGTTATAGATATGTGGTAGCATTGTAGAGGCCTGAGGGCACACACTTAATGTTGTGAAATATGTTATGACTGCCTTCATTTTGCTGGACCCCAGGAAGAGTAGCCGCTGCCTTGGCAGGAACTAATGGGGATCCATCATAAACCCCAGGAAGAGTAGCTGCTGCCTTGGCAGGAACTAATGGGGATCCATAATAAACCCCAGGAAGAGTAGCTGCTGCCTTGGCAGGAACTAATGGGGATCCATAATAAACCCCAGGAAGAGTAGCTGCTGCCTTGGCAGGAACTAATGGGGATCCATAATAAACCCCAGGAAGAGTAGCTGCTGCCTTGGCAGGAACTAATGGGGATCCATAATAAACCCCAGGAAGAGTAGCTGCTGCCTTGGCAGGAACTAATGGGGATCCATAATAAACCCCAGGAAGAGTAGCTGTTGCCTTGGCAGGAACTAATGGGGATCCATAATAAACCCCAGGAAGAGTAGCTTCTGCCTTGGCAGGAACTAATGGGGCTCCTTAATAAACCCCAGGAAGAGTAGCTGCTGCCTTGGCAGGAACTAATGGGGATCCATCATAAACCCCAGGAAGAGTAGCTGCTGCCTTGGCAGGAACTAATGGGGATCCATAATAAACCCCAGGAAGAGTAGCTGCTGCCTTGGCAGGAACTAATGGGGATCCATAATAAACCCCAGGAAGAGTAGCTGCTGCCTTGGCAGGAACTAATGGGGATCCATAATAAACCCCAGGAAGAGTAGCTGCTGCCTTGGCAGGAACTAATGGGGATCCATAATAACCCCAGGAAGAGTAGCTGCTGCCTTGGCAGGAACTAATGGGGATCCATAATAAACCCCAGGAAGAGTAGCTGCTGCCTTGGCAGGAACTAATGGGGATCCATAATAAACCCCAGGAAGAGTAGCTGCTGCCTTGGCAGGAACTAATGGGGATCCATAATAAACCCCAGGAAGAGTAGCTGTTGCCTTGGCAGGAACTAATGGGGATCCATAATAAACCCCAGGAAGAGTAGCTTCTGCCTTGGCAGGAACTAATGGGGCTCCTTAATAAACCCCAGGAAGAGTAGCTGCTGCCTTGGCAGGAACTAATGGGGATCCATAATAAACCCCAGGAAGAGTAGCTGCTGCCTTGGCAGGACCTAATGGGGATCCATAATAAACCCCAGGAAGAGTAGCTGCTGCCTTGGCAGGAACTAATGGGGATCCATAATAAATACAAATACACAGCTCTCTATTGTCCCTCTAATCACTCTGACATCAATGCAAATGTCAAATATATTATTTAGTAAATGTAAAGACAAGATTAAATCAGGTATAGTCTGATGGGTGACTATTAGCGTATCGATTGGGAATTATATATCACCAGCTTAAGGCAAGAAACAAAGCCTTTTTTTGTGTGACTTTTTCTAATCATAGTCGCCCACCTCATGTAGCCCATAGGCCTATATGTTTTGATAAGGTTTGTATCACAACTAAAGGGGCCAAATAACTTCTTAAAATGAAGCACATTAATCCACTTTACAACCGGTGTAGAGTCTAACTGGCATACATAAGCAGCGCGTGAGTTTCAAGTTTGGGGAAGATCATTTTCATCATAAAAATGCACCTTTATAATAAAAGCATTACATGCATAATCGCATTTGCTGTCACTTTTTGTAAATTGGTATTTCGTCACCTGCTGAATAAACACCTCGAATGGCCCTACTCCTGAATAAGTTAATCAGGCCGGAGTATACCACGAGACCCTGCTTTGGTGCGCTCTGACAGCTGTTGTTTGCTAAGCTGAATCATGCAAACCCTGCTGAAAAATAACATTACTCCAATTCTAGTGTTTTATATGCACATATTTATATAGATTGGTTTCTATTAATTCAGTAGCATTTAGATAACTGGTCAGTAGTTTAATCAGATTTCAATCATAAACCAGATATCAACCAAAATAAGAAGTATTTTTCATGACGAAGATTTAATCTGGTTGTGATCTGGTTATATGACATCCTGACCAGATTTCAATCAGTAAAATACGTCTTTATCACGTCGTATTCCCACTGGGACTGGTTTCATCTTGACAAACAAAAAATGCCATCTGTGGAGAAAAAAAGAGGTCCAATATTTGCTTGATTGGAGGATAGCTGTGAGGGTTATCGAATCAGGATCAAATCCTCAGATCTCCTCGAAGTCATTAAAAACAGAATGTTTATATTTGAAGATTGATAAAAGAAGGACCTTAGTCCAGGTCTAAGAAAAGGCCTCAAGCAGACTACAAGGAGTGGAACGTTATCTAAACAGACTGGTTAGGGCTGCTCGTCCTCCACTGCTGGAAGTTGGATTGGATTGTATTTATTGTGTTTCTGGTAGTTGCGTGGTTGGCTGCAGGAGACGGTCCAGTCGTTCAGAGTGACCAATGAGGAGCTGAGAGACACGGCTAACTCTACTGATTTACAGGACTGTAACACACTCTGTCACGTGAGATACAACACTTTTCATTTACAAACATAAATCACAAAGCTAGCAGCAACTTTCAATAATGCCTTAAAAAGGGCTAAAAGGTTTGAGGAAACATTTAAAGAGGACTAGTATTATACACATTATAAACCTCCCCTACCTGTCCTCTCTCCTACCTCTCCTCTCTCCTACCTCTCCTCCACCTCTCCTCTCTCCTACCTGTCCTCTACCTCTCCTCTACCTCTCTCCTTCCTGTCCTCTCTCCTACCTGTCCTCCACCTCTCTCCTACCTGTCCTCTCTCCTACCTCTCCCCTACCTCTCCTCTCTCCTACCTCTCCTCTCTCCTACCTCTCCTCTCCCCTACCTGTCCTCCACCTCTCCTCTCCCCTACCTCTCCTCTCCCCTACCTCTCCTCTCTCCTACCTCTCCTCTCTCCTACCTCTCCTCTCCCCTACCTGTCCTCTCTCCTACCTCTCCTCTCTCCTACCCTCTCCTCTCCCCTACCCTCCTCCTCTCCTACCCCTCTCCTCTCCTCACCTCTCCTCTTCCCCTACCTCTCCCTCTCCTACCTGTCCTCCACCTCTCCTCTCCCCTACCCTCTCCTCTCTCCTACCTTCCTCTCCCCTACCCTCCTCCTCTCCTACCCCCCTCCTCTCCCCTTTCCGTCCTCCCCCTCCCTCTCCCCACCTCTCCTCTCCCTCCTACCTCTCCTCTCTCCTACCTCTCCCTCTCCCCTACCTGTCCCCCTCCCTACCTCTCCTCTCTCCTACCTCTCCCCTCTCCCCTCCCCCTCCCCATACTCCTCTCCCCTACCTCTCCTCTCCTACCTCTCCTCTCCCTCCTTCTCTCCACCTCTCCTCTCCCCTACCTCTCCCGTCTCTCTACTCTCTCCCTACCTCTCCCTCTTCTCCTCTCCTACCTCTCCTCTCCCCTACCTCTCCTCTCCCTCCTCTCCCTCTCCTGACTCTCCTCTCCCTACCCTCCTCTCCCTCCCCTCTCCTCTCCCCCTCACCTCTCTCCCTCCTCTCCTCCTCTCCCTCCGCGCCTCTCCATCTCCTCCTCCCTACGGTCTCCTCCTCCCTACCTCTCTCTCCCTCCTCTCCTCTCTCCCCTCTCCTCTCTCTACCTCTCCTCTCCCTCTCTCCTCTCACCTCTCCATCTCCTTCTTTCCTCTCCTCGCCCCTCCTACCTCTCCTCCTCCCTCCTCTCCTCCTCGCCCTCTCCACCTCTCCTCCTCCGACCTCTCTCTCTCTCCCTCTCCCTCCCTCCCTATCCTTCCTGTCCTCTCTCCGCTCCTCCCTCTCCTCTCTCCTCCTCTCCTCTCTCTACCTTCCTCTTCCCTCCTTCCTCTCTCTCCTCTCCTCTCGTCTCCTCTCTACCTCCCTCTTCCTACCTCTCCTGCTACCTAACGGGCATCCACCTCTCCTCCCCTACCTCGTCCTCTCCCCGAAAGCTCCGCGCTCCTACCTCTCTCTCGCTACCTGTCCTCCACCTCTCTTTTCCTCACCCTTCTGTCTGTAGTGTCTCCAGTTGAAGATGACAGGAGGAGGTTTCCCCTGGTCCAGACTCTTCATGGCTTTACTGGTGTTTGCTGCCGGGTTCATTACACACGACATCAGATCACACGGATCCTTCACAGGTACTTAAACTCTCACACACACACACACACACAACACGAACACACTTCCTTAGCCTATGCATCTGTAAACCTATCTGACCGTGTGTGTGTGTGCATAGACTCCACCACAGCGAGGTATCTCCACAGTTCAGGGGTGATGGGCGTGTCTCAACAGGCCTGGAGCAAAGTCACCCTCTACTCACAACAGGGCTTCAGGTAACCTCTGACCTCTGACCTCTAACCCAGAGCTGAGAAATCATGTTTGCTCATCAGCATATCTCTGAGGACAGAACGCATTTATAAATGTTTTTGACTCCAAAATTAATTTGTCAGTCAGTTGTTTAAAAATATACGTCCATTATCATTTCTACATTCTAATCAGGTTTTAGACATTCAAGTGTAGACTGAAGTCATTTTTGTATCCAAAACAATAATCCTGTTTTTCCGTGTGTGTAGCTGGTTGGAGACCAACACTCCCTACTACTATTCAGAGGGGGTGCGTGTGTTGGGGCCGGCACTGGAGCAGAACTGGGAGAGAACTAAAGATGCTGCCATCTACATCTCACAACTCACAACACAACTCACTGACTGGACCAATCACAACACACCCCTTCTCATAGAATGGGTAAGACACACACACACACACACACTGTTGTACATTAAGTTGTTTCGTGGTGATACTGTTTGTCGTGGTGATACTGTTTGTCGTGGTGATACTGTTTGTGGTGGTGATACTGTTTGTGGTGGTGATACTGTTTGTGGTGGTGATACTGTTTGTAGTGGTGATACTGTTTGTAGTGGTGATACTGTTTGTAGTGGTGATACTGTTTGTCGTGGTGATACTGTTTGTCGTGGTGATACTGTTTGTCGTGGTGATACTGTTTGTCGTGGTGATACTGTTTGTAGTGGTGAGACTGTTTGTCGTGGTGATACTGTTTGTAGTGGTGAGACTGTTTGTGGTGGTGATACTGTTTGTCGTGGTGATACTGTTTGTCGTGGTGAGACTGTTTGTCGTGGTGATACTGTTTGTCGTGGTGATACTGTTTGTAGTGGTGTACTGTTTGTAGTGGTGATACTGTTTGTAGTGGTGATACCTGTTTGTTCGTGGTGATACTGTTTGTCGTGGTGATTACTGTTTGTCGTGGTGATACTGTTTGTAGTGGTGATAACTGTTTGTCGTGGTGATACTGTTTGTCGTGGTGATACTGTTTGTCGTGGTGAAACTGTTTGGTCGTGGTGATACTGTTTGTCGTGGTGATACATGTTTGTAGTGGTGAGACTGTTTGTGTGGTGATACTGTTTTGTCGTGGTGATACTGTTTGTCGTGGTGAGACTGTTTGTCGTGGTGATACTGTTTGTCGTGGTGATACTGTTTGTCGTGGTGATACTGTTTGTAGTGGGATACTGTTTGTAGTGGTGATACTGTTGTAGTGGTGATACTGTTTGTCGTGGTGATACTGTTTGTCGTGGTGATACTGTTGTCGTTGGGTGATACTGTTTGTCGTGGTGATACTGTTTGTAGTGGGTGATACTGTTTGTCGTGGTGGATACTGTTTGTCGTGGTGATACTGTTTTGTCGTGGTGATACTGTTTGTCGTGGTGATACTGTTTGTCGTGGTGATACTGTTTTGTGTGGTGATACTGTTTGTGGTGGTGATACTGTTTTGTGGTGGTGATACTGTTTTGGTGGGTGGTGATACTGTTTGTGGTGGTGATACTGTTTGTGGTGGTGATACTGTTTGTGGTGGTGATACTGTTTGTCGTGGGTGATACTGTTTGTGGTGGTGATACTGTTTGTAGTGTGATACTGTTTTGTCGTGGTGATACTGGTTTGTCGTGGTGATACTGTTTGTCGTGGTGATAACTGTTTTGTAGTGGGTGAGACTGTTTGTCGTGGTGATACTGTTTGTCGTGGTGATACTGTTTTGTCGTGGTGATACTGTTTGTCGTGGTGAGACTGTTTGTGGTGGTGATACTGTTTTGTGGTGGTGATACTGTTTGTAGTGGTGATACTGTTTGTCGTGGTGATACTGTTTGTAGTGGTGATAACTGGTTGTAGTGGTGATACTGTTTGTAGTGGTGATACTGTTTGTCGTGGTGATACTGTTTGTCGTGGTGATACTGTTTTGTCGTGGTGATACTGTTTGTAGTGGTGATACTGTTTGTCGTGGTGATACTGTTTGTCGTGGTGATACTGTTTGTCGTGGTGATACTGTTTGTCGTGGTGAGACTGTTTGTGGTGGTGATACTGTTTGTCGTGGTGATACTGTTTGTCGTGGTGATACTGTTTGTCGTGGTGATACTGTTTGTAGTGGTGATACTGTTTGTAGTGGTGATACTGTTTGTCGTGGTGATACTGTTTGTCGTGGTGATACTGTTTGTCGTGGTGATACTGTTTGTCGTGGTGATACTGTTTGTAGTGGTGATACTGTTTGTCGTGGTGATACTGTTTGTCGTGGTGATACTGTTTGTCGTGGTGATACTGTTTGTATTGGTGAGACTGTTTGTCGTGGTGATACTGTTTGTGGTGGTGATACTGTTTGTAGTGGTGATACTGTTTGTCGTGGTGATACTGTTTGTCGTGGTGATACTGTTTGTCGTGGTGATACTGTTTGTCGTGGTGATACTGTTTGTCGTGGTGATACTGTTTGTGGTGGTGATACTGTTTGTGGTGGTGATACTGTTTGTCGTGGTGATATGTTGTCGTGGTGATACTGTTTGTGGTGGTGATACTGTTTGTGGTGGTGATAACTGTTGTGGGTGGTGATACTGTTTGTGGTGGTGATACTGTTTGTCGTGGTGATACTGTTTGTCGTGTTAGTGACCATGAGTCCCAGCTCCACAACATGTTAAAGGGATACTTCAGGATTTTGGCAATGAAGCCCTTCATCTATTTCCCCAGAGTCCGATGAACTCATGGATACCATTTTAAAGTCTTAGTATCCAGCATGAAGGACATTAGAGGTAGTTTCGCATGCCAATGCTAACTAGCGTTAGCGACATGACTGGAAGTCTACCAGAACATCCCATACACTTCCAGTGATTGCGCTGACGCTAGTTAGCAAATGCGTTAACCTGTTCAACTCTGGCCTCCTCTGGTCGCATAATATTATATACTACCCTCACATGACACAGAATATTGTTTACTTCCCTCAAAGTACATTTCTGTTTCAAAATGAAGTCCTACCAACACGCTTAGTACTGTCAGAAAGGTGAGAGTGGTGGGATTCTGATACAGTGTGACTACGACTACAGAGATGTGGCAGACCAAAAACAACGGACATTTTCCTCTTCTTAAAAAAAAATAAATAATGTGGGTCCCCATTTTGGGGAATAAGAGGTTTGAGATAAAACACATCACCAATTACTGTTCCAAAATTATTATTTAGATGTATTTATAAAAAAGTATCTTTTACGTAATGGTGGTGCTCTAAACATTCCCATTGGAACACAGCCATTTGAAAAGGGCAGGGCATGTGCAACGTGTAAGATTTAGCTTTCAAATAATATTTAACTTTGTATTTTCTGATACATTTTACTCCCGGTAACCCTTCCTCCCGCCCTACAGATAGCAGGCCGGTTTAAAACAAGGTTACGTACATGGATAGTGGTGTGACCTTTAAAATGTTTGAATGTTTTTTCCTCTAGCTGAGCTCCAACACTCCAGCCAGTGTGTCTCTGCTGATAACCTATCTGAAGCAGCTCCTACTGTTTCTCCACACCAACTACCTGCTGCCAGCTCTCTCACACGCCTCCCATCTAACAATACAGGCCTGGACAGCCCTACAGGACTCCTGCAAGTAGGTACCATACACACCTAACACACACCTCCCATTCACACCAACTACCTGCTACCAGCTCTCCCACACACACCTCCCATTCACACCAACTACCTGCTACCAGCTCTCCCACACACACCTCCCATCCATACCAACTACCAGCTACCAGCTCTCTCACACACCTCCCATCTAACAATACAGGCCTGGACAGCCCTACAGGACTCCTGCAAGTAGGTACCATACACACCTAACACACACCTCCCATTCACACCAACTACCTGCTACCAGCTCTCTCACACACCTCCCATCTAACAATACAGGCCTGGACAGCCCTACAGGACTCCTGCAAGTAGGTACCATACACACCTAACACACACCTCCCATTCACACCAACTACCTGCTACCAGCTCTCCCACACACACCTCCCATTCACACCAACTACCTGCTACCAGCTCTCCCACACACACCTCCCATCCATACCAACTACCAGCTCTCCCACACACCTCCCATCCATACCAACTACCAGCTCTCCCACACACCTCCCATCCATACCAACTACCAGCTCTCCCATCCATACCAACTACCAGCTCTCCCACACACCTCCCATCCATACCAACTACCAGCTCTCCCACACACACCTCCCATTCACACCAACTACCTGCTACCAGCTCTCCCACACACCTCCCATCCATACCAACTACCTGCTACCAGCTCTCCCACACACCTCCCATCCATACCAACTACCAGCTCTCCCACACACCTCCCATCCATACCAACTACCTGCTACCAGCTCTCTCACACACCTCCCATCCATACCAACTACCAGCTACCAGCTCTCCCACACACCTCCCATCCATACCAACTACCTGCTACCAGCTCTCCCACACACCTCCCATCCATACCCAACTACCAGCTCTCCCCACACACACCTCCCATCCATACCAACTACCTGCTACCAGCTCTCCCACACGCCTCCCATCCATACCAACTACCAGCTCTCCCACACACCTCCCATCCATACCAACTACCTGCTACCAGCTCTCCCACACACCTCCCATCCATACCAACTACCAGCTCTCCCACACACCTCCCATCCATACCTGCTACCAGCTCTCCCACACACCTCCCATCCAATACCAACTACCAGCTCTCCCACACACCTCCCATCCATACCAACTACCAGCTCTCCCACACGCCTTCCATCCTCCCTCAACAACTACCAGCTCTCCCACACACCTCCCATCCATACCAACTACCTGCTACCAGCTCTCCCACACACACCTCCCATCCATTACCAACTACCTGCTACCAGCTCTCCCACACACCTCCCATCCATACCAACTACCAGCTCTCCCCACACACCTCCCATCCATACCAACTACCAACTACCAGCTCTCCCACACGCCTCCCATCCATACCAACTACCAGCTCTCCCACACACACCTCCCATCCATACCAACTACCTGCTACCAGCTCTCCCACACACCTCCCATCCATACCAACTACCAGCTCTCCCCACACACCTCCCATCCATACCAACTACCAGCTCTCCCACACACACCTCCCATTCACACCAACTACCAGCTCTCCCACACACCTCCCATCCATACCAACTACCAGCTCTCCCACACACCTCCATCCATACCAACTACTGCTACCAGCTCTCCCACACACCTCCCATCCATACCAACTACCTGCTACCAGCTCTCCCACACATCTCCCATCCATACCAACTACCAGCTCTCCCACACACCTCCCATCCATACCAACTACCTGCTAACCAGCTCTCCCACACACACCTCCCATCCATACCAACTACCTGCTACCAGCTCTCCCACACACACCT